ATGGGGGGGGTGAGGACATGGGGGTTCCTATAGCCCCCTATGGGGGGTTTGGGGGTGCACTGTGGGTCCTGACCCAGTGCCCCCCCCCCCCCCAGTGCCAGTGGCCAACAAGCGGGACACGCGCTCCATCGAGGAGGCCATGAACGAGATCCGGGCCAAGAAGCGGCTGCGGCGGGGGGGGGACGAGGGGGGTGCGGGGGGGGCCCCGCTGTGACTGGGGGGGGGTATGATAAAGGTCCCGTGTCTCCCCCATTGTGTGAGTTGGGGTGGACCCCCCCCAATAACAATTAATTGGGTGTTGTGTTCCAGAGTGTTTTATTGTGGGGGTTTGGGGTGATCCCCCCCCAAAGGGAATGGGGTGCTTAATGGTCATCCACCCCGCTCCCCCCCATCTTACCTGGTCTGTGGGGGGTTCCACATCAACTGATGCCGCTTTAAGGCTGTTGGGGGACAAGGAGGGGGCAGGAGTGGGTCCTGTGTGGCACATTGGGGAGGGGGGGATGTACCCTGTGGGACCCACAGGTTATGGGGGCTTCAGACCTAAGGGGCTCATGGCAGGAGGTCTATACCATATTGCCCTATGGGGGGACTCAGCCCTGTGTGGCTCATGGTGGGGAGGGGGCTCACCCTATGGGGTTCATGGGGGGGGAGGTTGACCCATACCGCCCTATGGGAGAGCTCAGCCCCACACGGGCCCCACAGCGCCCTATAGAGGGGGAGGGGCGGCGGCTCTGACCACTTCCCTCCACCGAGAGGGGGAGTGGGGGAGGGGCAGCCCCATCCTCCCCAAACCCCTCCCCCCTCCCTGGCGGGGGTCGCGCCACTCCCCCCCCCCAGTCTCGCGCCCCCGCCCCCACCGTGGGGCAGGAAGTGAAACCGCCGCCCCTCCCCCACGGCGGGAGAGCGCGAGACACGCGGGGGGTGGGGCTGCCCCCTCCCCAGACCCACCCCCACCCCCCCATAGACCCCCCTCAGACCCACACATTGGGGTCTCCGCCCCCCAAGTGCTCCCCCCCTTTCCAATAGGGGCGTCCCATCACATTGTTGGGGGGGTTTGGGTCCATTCACAGAGTGGGGGAGGGGCATTTCCCCCCCAGGGGTGTGGGGGAGGGTCTTTACCGCCCGCTCGAAGGGGTCATGGGAAGGGGGGGGGTCACGATAACGGGGCAGGGGTCGCGATATCTCGCTTCCCCCCCCCGGCTCCGTTCCAGCCGCCCAGACCGAGGGGCGTTTCCCGCCCCGCCAAGCCCCACCTCCTCCCCCTGAGGCCCCGCCCCCTCCCCGGGCTCCCCTATGAAAGGCGCCGCGAACGGCCGCGCCACCGCCGGGCCAATCCGTGCCGCTGCTCCGCACTGCGCAGGCGCGGGGGTTGGACGAGGAGCCGAGGCCCCGCCCCCTCCGTCCACCAGGCCACGCCTCCTCGGCCCGCCAGGCCACGCCCCCCGCCTCTTTTCCCGCCGCCGCCGCCGCCATGAGCGGGTGGGCCCCGTACGTGGACACGCTGCTGGCGGACGGCACCTGCCAGGACGCCGCCATCGTCGGCTATCGCGATACCCCCGCCGTGTGGGCCGCGGCCCCCGGCAAGACCTTCGCTAATATCACGGTAAGGGCTCGCTATCGCGACAGAAGGGGAAGGAGGGGGGGGGTTTCCCGCCGTGGAGTCCCGGTTGGCTCCACCCCCATATGGGCGACGGGGGCCGAGGAGGGACAAAAAAGGGAGAAGAACGCGGGAGCTGCCAGCGTGGAGCGGCCCCGCCCATGGGGAGGAAGCGGGGGGGGGGGGGGGGGGGGGGGGGGGAGCGGGTGTCTGCGGGGTCCTAACCCCTCCCCCCAATGGGGTTATAGGGGCTGGGAAGAGGCGACCCCTATGGACACCCCTCTATGGGGTAATGGGATGACCCAGGAGTCCGCATGGTCCTGAAGCACCCTCCCAATAATGGGCTTATGGGCGGTTATGGGGGCTGGGAAGGGGGGGCACCCCTATGTGGTCTAATGGTATCATCTAGGAGTCCATAGGGTCCTAAAGGCCCCCCCATTAATTGGGTTTATGGTGGGGGGGAGTCCTAAACTTTCCTTATGCTGGACATGGGGGGTCCGGGACCCCCTTCCCATACAGGATATGGGGGACCATAACGAACCCCCCTATATCCCTTAATGGGGAGATCCAGGCGTCCAGCGGGGGGAAAGACCCCCACTGCCCCCCTCCTATACTGCTTAATGGGAGGGTCCAGGTGTCCGCTGGGTCCTAAAGCCTCCCTGTCATGCCTTTAGGAAGGAGGGAACCCCTGTGGCCCCCCCATGTCACTCTGTGGGCCCCCCCCACTCGAGGGGGGGCACGGCGGGGAGCCCCAATTTAAATGATGAAAAATATGAGAAAATTTAAGATTTAAGTGAAAAAGGAAGTAAAAATGTGCGGAATGTGCACTTCCCTGTGGGGGAGGGGCGGCCGCGGGGCTTCCTGTGGGGGAGGGCAGGCGCAAACCCCCTCCCCCTCTCCCCCCCTCCCATTTCCTGGTCCCCGGATGCCTGAAACCCCCCCGGAAATGGGGGGAGGGGGGAGGAAGTGTTGGGGGGGAGGGTTTGGGTTGGGGTTAAGGAGGGGGAGGGTCCATTTAGGGGGTTATTTGTGGGGGTAATGGGGGGGTCTCCACATTGGGGTTATGGAGGTCTATGGGGCAGGGGCACTTCTATGGGAGGGGGTCCATGGGTGGAACTTCATTTACGGGTCCGTCGTGGCGTTATGGGTGACCTGTCCCCAAGTGCTCCCTGTGGGGCCCATGGGGGGGCTTATGGGGTATTCCATTGGGGTTCATGGGGGAGGTCCATGGGGAGGGATGTTCTGGGGTGGCCTGGGCCCCATTACTACTCACTATGGGGCCCATGGTGGGAGGTTATGGGGTGAACCATTGGGGCCCATGACAGAGTGGTCCTGGGTTGACTTGTCCCCCATTGCTCCCTGTGGGGGCCATGGAGTGACCCATGGGGGGGTCCAGGTGTATGTATCCTGTCCCCCCTGTAGCTCACTGCCAGTCCCACGGGGCGGGCTCTGGGATGATCCATTGGTGTCCATGGGGGGGGTCCACAGGCAGCGGAGGTGCAGGCGCTGGTGAGCCCCGAGCGGGGGCCGCTGCTGGTGTCGGGGCTGACGCTGGGGGGGCTGCGCTGCTCCGTGATCCGGGACTCGCTGCTGGTGGAGGGCGAGCACAGCATGGACCTGCGCAGCAAGGGGGGGGCACCCGGCACCCCCACCGTCAACATCACCGCTGCCATCACCAACAAGAGTGAGTCACCCCAGAGCGCCCTATGGGACCCACATCGCCCCATAGGACTCTCATCACCCCATAGTGCCCAATAGGACCCCCATCACCCCATAGCGCCCTGTGAGACCCCCATCACCCCATAGCGCCCAATGGGAACACCATTGCCCTGTAGTGCCCTATGGGATCCCCATCACCCCTTAGCGCCCTGTGGGACCCCCATCACCACATAGCGCCCCTGTGGAATCTCCCTGTCACCCCTTTGTGTCCGTATGTGACCCTCTGGAACCCTCCTGACATCCCCATGTGAACTTATGGACCCCCCCCGTCACCTCATGTCACCCCTTTGCATCCCTATAGGACCCTGTGGGACTCCACAGCACCTCTATGGGACCTTATGGAACCCCCCATCACCCCTATTATGACCCTATGGAACCCCCCCGTCACCTCATGTCACCCCTTCCCACTGTTATGTGACCCTATAAAATCTCCTGTCACCCCTTTGCACCCCTATAGAATGCCCCATGGCACCCACACCCAGCACCCCAATGTGACCCTATGGCACCTCCATCACCTCCTGACCCCCAAGTGCCCCATGGCCTTTAGGCCCCCCCCAATTCCCTCTACACAGGGGGTTCTCAGCACTATGGGGTGACCCATTGCGGTCCATGGGGGGATGTGTGGGGCTGGCTATGGGGCAGACCCACTGATCCGCCCCCCTCCTGCAGCCATCGTGTTGGCCATGGGCAAGGAGGGCGTCCACGGCGGGTGTGTGAACAAGAAGTGCTACGACATGGCCAACCACCTGCGGCGCTCGCAGTACTGAGCGCCCCACAAGTGCCCCCTGCCCCACAAGTGACCACCCGGGACCCACAAGTGACCCCCCCCCGGGACCACCAGGACCTGCCAGGGACCACCAGGACCTTCAGGACCTAATCCCCCCTCCCCCTTTTACACACTCCCCCGCTGCGGGCAGCAATAAAGACGCCTCGTGGGGAGCTGCTGTGGGGCAGGATGTGTGGGGCAGGCCCCGCTGTGTACGTTTGGGGTGGGGAACACCCGGGTCCAAGGTGCTGCACCACACCCGGGGGGAGGGGTGCAAAGTCCGCTATGGGGCAGGGCTGCGGACTCCCAACCCCCCCCCCCCAAAGCTACAAGAGGCCGTTGTTGGGGGGCAGGAGAGCGGCTACTGAGCACTTGGGGGGACTCGGATGCCCCCCTAAATGGGGCTCTATGGGGCTGCCCCACTGCACTGCGGGGCCGGAAGTGTGTGTGTGTGGGGGGGCTGATGTGGGGCAGGCCCCATAGTTCAGGCCGGGGGGGTTGTGGGGCGGAAGCGGCTCCGGCGCCACCGAGGCCTTATAAGGACAACGACGCGGCCGGGACGCTTCCTCCCCCACCCCCCCTTCCTCCATGGGGGGTGGATGTGGGAGGAGGGGCCTGGAACGGGAGCCGTGGGGCAGCCACGGGGCTGCTGTGGGGCTGGCTGGGGTGTGCGGGTGATCTATGGGGCTGCCAGCGCTGCTCGGAGCACTTACGGGGCTGGTTGAACTGTGTGGCTGCCATGGGGCAGCCGTGCCGGTTGTCGCCCCAGGACGTACCTGACCCCTCGGACGCTCCGGAACCGCTCCGGGTGGTGCCGAGGGCTCAGCGCAGCCTCGGCCCGGGGCCGGAGCCGGGGCCTGAACCGGATCCGGTGCCCGGGGACAGACCCAGGACCCGGCCCGGTCCCTCCCCTCCCTCCGCTCAACATGGCGGCGGAGGGGGGGTGTGTGTGTGTCTCTGTCTACCGATGGGCGGAGCCTCCTGCAGCAGCAACTAATCCGCGGTGGGCAAGCTTCCCGCCTAAACACCTTCCACCAATGAGAGGAGGGAGGCGGAGCGAGGCCGGCAGCGTGGCCACGCCTCCCGCTCCCCTCACAGTTAGCCACGCCCCTCAACGAAACCACGCCCACAAGCTTTTCCGCTCCTCCCATAGGTTCTGCCCCCCCTCAAGCCACGCCCCTTCGTCGCGCGCAGCCGCGCGGCGCATGCGTACTGACACCCTCCCCCCCCCTCTCTCCCCCCCGCCGGAGTCACCTTGGGGCGCGGCGGGTGCGGACCCCCGGGACGCCCCCGGGTCCTGGTGCCCTCCGCTCCCCGCCGGCAGCGGGACCCCCCCCGGCCATGGCGGCCGAGAGGCCCAAGAGCTCCCCGAAGTGGGTGAAGTTCCTGTTCGGAGGCCTGGCCGGGTGAGAGCCACTGCGATCCCCCCCGGGCACCGACGGCCCCGCCCCCCCCCCCCCCCCCCCCCCCCCCCCAGTGCCCCCTTAAACGGCTTCGAGCCCCCCCCCCCCCCCCGGGACCATTCAGAACCCCCAATCGCCTCAAGCCCCTCCAAAACCCACCCGTAACGTGTCCTTTGGCCCCTAAAGCCCCTATAACCCCCCCAATAAACGCTGCGGACCCCCCAAAACCCCTTTAAATCCTCAACCCCCCCCAAATCCCCCCAAAACCCCCTTAAGACCCCCCAAAGCCCTTCAGGACCCCAAAAGCCCTTTAATCCCTTCAAACCCCCCTTTGGTGCCCCCTAAAACCCCTCCAGCCCCTACAAAACCCCTCCTGTGCTCCCTAAGGCCCTTTGAGCCCCCTAAATCCACCACAAAACCCCGTTAAGTCCCCCAAACCCCTTTAACCCATTCAGAACCCCCTCTAATGCTCCCTAAAACACCTTGAACACCCCAAAAACACCTTTATCCCCTTCAACCCCCCCAAGTCCCCACAAAACCCATTCAGTGACCCCCAAAAGTGCTTAAGACCCCATTGAGCTCCCCCCAAACCCCTCCTCAGACCCCTTGAGCCCCCCCAAATCCACCTCAATTCACCCCAGAACCCCTTTACCCCCCGATGACCCCCCTTGACCCCCCCCCCCGGTGCAGGATGGGGGCCACGGTGTTCGTGCAGCCCCTGGACCTGGTCAAGAACCGGATGCAGCTCAGCGGGGAGGGGGCCAAGGCCCGCGAGTACCGGACGAGCCTGCACGCGCTGGGCTCCATCCTGCGCCACGAGGGCCTGCGTGGCGTCTACACCGGGTACGGGCGTGGGGGCCCCCGAACTGGGCTCGGGACCCCCGGAAACGGCATCGGCGACCCCGAACCCCCCCCTTGGACCCCAAAAATGGAACCAGGGCCCCAAAAATGGGCTTTGAGCACCGAAAACCAGCCCTGGGCACCCAAACCTGGAGCCAGGAGCTGGCTGGGGGCCACTTGGGGTCAGGTTTTGAGTCACTTTTGGGGGTTTTGAGGTCTGTTTTGGGTGTTCTTGGAGCTGTTTTGCGTTCTTGGTGCTGCTGAAGAGGGGGATGGAGGGGATGGGGTGAAGATGATGATGATGGTGGATGATGATGGAAGATGATAACGGATGATGATGATGATGGAGAATGGAGAATGATGATGAAGATGATGATGGATGAAGATGATGATGGATAATGGTGATAAAGATGATAATGGGTGACGATGATGAAGATGATAGATGAAGATGATGATGGATGATGATGAATGAAGACGATGGATGATGATGCTGATGACGTCAATGATGATGTCACTGCTGTTCTCCCCCCCCCCATAGGCTGTCCGCGGGGCTGCTGCGCCAGGCCACCTACACCACCACACGCTTGGGGGTCTATAGCGTGGGGCTGGAGCTGCTGGGGGCCCCGGATGGGACCCCCCCCCCGTTCCTGGCCAAGGCTGCTGTGGGGATGAGCGCGGGTGCCGCCGGCGCCTTCGTGGGGACCCCGGCGGAGGTGGCACTCATCCGGATGACAGCAGATGGGAGGTGGGCATCGACCATGGGGCAGCCCCACTGATCCCTCACTGGGGGTCCTGAACCCCCTTTGGGGTCCCTGCTGACACCCCCCCCACCCCGCCATCCCGCACTGCTTTGGTTCGGTCCAGGCTGCCCCCTGCCGAGCGCCGCGGGTACCGCAACGTGTTCGACGCCCTCGTGCGGATGGTGCGGGAGGAGGGACCTACGACCCTCTGGAGGGTGAGACCCCTTGCCCCCCTGTAAACCCCCCTTTACCCTATACCCCTTCCCAATGGCATAGAAGAGGGAGAACCCCACAATGGGGAGGGGTATGGGGGGGTCCATGGGGTGTGTGGGTACCAGGGAGACCCCAAACCCCCTTTTTTCCCTCCCTTCCCCAGGGCTGCATCCCCACCATGGCTCGTGCCGTCGTGGTCAATGCGGCCCAATTGGCCTCGTATTCCCAATCCAAGCAGTTCCTGCTGGACTCGGGTGAGTTGGGGGGGATCCAGGGCTATGGGGCAGCCCCTAAGCTGCTGCCCCATGGATTCCATGGGGCAGCCCTATAGATTCTCAGGGTGCTCTGGGGTGTTGCAGGCCGCTTCCAGGATGACATCCTGTGCCACTTCAGTGCCAGCATGATCAGCGGCCTGGTCACCACCGCCGCCTCCATGCCTGTGGACATCGTTAAGACCCGGTGGGTCATTAGCGCTAATGACCCCCCCCCATGTTGAGTTAATGGGGGAGGTCTGATTTTGGGGTGTCCCCCCCAAATCGGCCTCTTTACCCCCAACAGCATCCAGAACATGCGGACCATTGATGGGAAGCCAGAGTACCGCGGGGGGCTGGTGAGTGGGGGGGGAACCCCTATATTTAGGTGTCTCCCCCATTAATGCCCCCCATAGACCCACATTGGGTTCCCCCCCATAGATCCACATGGGTGTCCCCCCCCCCCCGAGACCCACATTGGGGTTGCCCCCTGTAGACCCACATGATGTTCCCCCATACATCCACATTGGGGTCCCCCCCCAACTCTGCCCCCCAGGACGTGCTGGTAAAGGTCATTCGCTACGAGGGATTCTTCAGCCTCTGGAAGGGCTTCACCCCCTACTACGCGCGGCTCGGGCCCCACACAGTGTTGACCTTCATCTTCCTCGAGCAGATGAACAAGTGGTACCAGCGCCTTGTGCTCAGCGCCTGACCCCACGGAATCTATGGGGCAGCCCCATAGAGCCAATGGTGTCTGTCCCCTGGGCTCTTAAGGCCGTGGGGTGTCCCTGTAGGGGGCTGTGGAGCAGCCCTATAGCTCTGTGGGGTGTCCCTTTGTACCTATAGCGGTTATGGGGCAGCCCCAAAGCTCTGGGGGAGGGCTCCTTGGCTCTATGAGGCCAGGGGGTGGCCCTGTGGGGCACTGGGGGGTGTTTCTCTGTCCCTATGGGGACCCTATAAAGTGCTTCATGGATGATTCCATTGTCATTGCAGCGGCTGGTTCGGGGGGTGCCCCATGGCAGGGGCTGCCCCATAGCAGGGTCATGGGCAGAGGGTGTCCGGTGGAGGTAGCATGGCATTGCACTGTCAATCACATGGTGAGAGTGTGTGCGTCACATGATGGATTAGGGAGGCCTCCATACTGGGCCCACATCCCAAACCAGCCTCAGAACAACCCAAATTTACCCTTAGATGTCCCCCAAAATGCAGCTTTTCCACCCCAAATTTCCCCTTTTTACCCCTTAAATGTTTTTTTTTGCACCCCAAATACATATTCTTACCGCCAAAATGGGGCTTTTCCACCCCAAATTGAGGCTTTTTCCCACCCAAACGTGGCTTTCTTACCCCAAATAGGGTGTTTTCATCCCAATGGGTCCTTCTCCCCCAAAATGTGTGTTTTCCCAATAAATGGCCGTTATCCACAAAATTCCACCATTCCAAACCCCCAAATCACCCTTTTTCACCCCAAAACAGCCACGTTTCCTCCGCACGACCTTTATTCCAGCTCCCCCGCTCCGGATGGTACCAGCTCGCCCTGCGGGGGGAGGGGGGGGGGGGTCCTCCTGCGGGGTCTCCCCGCGCTCAGTGCAGGGGCCCGCCGTCCCCCCCCGGCAGCTGTGCCCCCGTTAGTACGCTCCGCTCCACGCCCTCCGCCGTGATGGCGGCCAAGCGCAGCACCCCCCCGCTGGAGCCGTCCCGGGCCATGGCCAGCGCCAGCGCTGCGGGGGGAGG